ATTTTTTAAAGTTTAGGAAAATACAACAGTCATTGAAAATTTAAGCCCCAACAATTTTATGTCTACCATCACTTTCACACTTATGTGCTTTCTTCATTTTGTTATTCACTTTTTAGAAAAACTAAAATAAGAACTTAAAATGAAAGGGGCAAAATATATCAAAGAAATTGTGAAATAGCGAAGCCTAATTTTTAAGAACTATATCATAATCATTATCATACAGGACCTTAGAACTTATTGACACTTTTTAAAGCTCGGAGACAAATCAACTGTAAACCTTGAATACGTTTAAGGGACAAACTTGTAATTTAACCGATTATCGAGTATAATTAAGTTAAGTTGTGGTTGGAAGTTTCAATTGATTTTGGCCTTCTCCCCCAACCCCACATTTATTTTGAAACACAAACACACAGCTCATATATATCACATCAATGGCTATGCTTTGGTTTGCATGTGATGAAAGCTCCAAGTCCTCTTTCTCTCTCTCCTCAACATGTCATGTGCCATTCAATTTCTTCAAAGGATGGCCTCTCTCTCATGCCCATTTTTGTATTTGTTACTACGGCTACTTGTTTTTTGGTCAATCCCATCTCTAATTATATTGGTGTGTGAGTTAAAATGTTATTCTAATTTTGTCATATTTTTTTGGTTTGATTCTTTTTACATTTGTTTTAGGTCAAACTAATCGATTCTACTTGATTTTTGGATTTTTAGAACGTATATAACTTTCATCTTGAGCTTCCGATATCGTGAGATTCAAGATTCAAGAGAAGAAAGATCGAGGAACTTTGCTTCCCTCTTGGTGTTTTGGTGTTTTCAGATTCAGTGAATCAAACGGATTTAGTGAATATGTCATTTGTCTTTTAAAACCGTTTTCGGATTTGTGATCCAAATAGTGAAAATTTTGAAAATAACATTTTTATGTTTTCACTATTTTCATATTTTGAATTTGAAACTTTAAAGTGTAGAATTACCTTTGAAAAGAAAGATAAAAATTTTGATAAATATATTATTTCATGTTATAAATTTTTTTCGTTTTTGTTAAAATTAAAGTATGTAAAATATAATATAAATTATACAAAATTGTAACAAAAATGTTAATAAAGTAATTAATATTATTTTAGATTAAACTAAATATTTACTTGGTAGCTACTACTAATTTACAGATACATTACTTAAACACCAAAATGATTTTCGATAGAATAAATTGATATTCAATTTTCAAATTTTGTACGAAAAAGTACCACTCTGTTTTTTATTGAATCTCTTGTTTTAAATTTCTGCTTTTAATCATGAAACAAACGCGATCGAAAAAAGAAATTCTCATTTCTAACCAAATTTTTAGCTCTATCCTTGATGAGATTGACATGCTTGTCACGAATAATTAAATAGAACTCATCTCAAGCTTTTGTCATTGTTAATTATGGGTGAAAACCTTAAAACATCTACATGGTTATGTGTCACCTATCAATCATGTCATGTGGAGCAATCTCAAGCACACACTTTGACTAAGCAATGTGGGTGGCACCCTTAAGAAAAGGAAGCAAGTATATGTTGTAATGTTTGAGCAAAATTCATCACCCTTCTCTTGACCAGGTATAGACAAATCATAATTTTTAGTTTCCCGATTTCCCAATTTGTTGTACTAAAAAAATCATATTGTTCCAGCTTCCTCGAATAATTTCTCCAAGTGAAAAGGTTTAGTGGGCTCTCTCCCGAACGATTTGATGTTTGAACAAGTCTATCGTGTGAAACTCAAACACCTTCAACATTGTTATCAATCATATCATATAAATATTCTTGTTAGGACAAAAGTAATAATTATGCTCCCTTTAGATAGAGTGGATGAGTTGATATTCTTCAAGTACCTAATACTCTTTTTCCACATAGCTTTGCCAACTCAATCCTTGATTTGACTTGGGGCATCAAAGAATTTTTTTCCCCCTTTTTTATAAGCTTCACACCGCTACTTAGCTTTTTATAGTCTTCCTTGTGGTTTTTCCTAGATTTTTCTCAATTTGATTTTTTATGTTCTAAAATTCTCGATTAAGTCATTTCTTAAAAAATATGTTAAAATTTACGAGTAAAAAGCTAATGTTTCATTAAATTATTGTTTTTGTAATGTATTTTAGAGATAGATACCTTAACCACCTGAGTTATGCTCGATTTGACATTCAACATACATATTACTATTAGTAATCCACTTTTTTTTTTATTATTATTGTTGTCTCGTTAAATTGTTTCTCAAAAAGAGATGATTTTTTTATGTGAAACTTAACTTTCATTGAGAAAAAAAAAATGAAAGAATATACCAAGGGCATAAAGAAACAAGCCCGACAAAATGGGATTAGCCTATAAGGAGGGCCCAATCCAAAAGAGGAACAATTAACTAATTAGGTTAAATAACACTTTTGGTCCCTATACTTTAGTTGAAGTAACGATTTAGTCCTTGAATTTTCAAAAGTAACGTTTTAGTCCTTATACTTTCAAATTGTTAAGTTTAAAGTTTGTAATGATTTAGTCTCCGTTGTGAGTTTTTTTGTTTTTGTTAAATTTTTTATATATGTAGATCGATAAACCGATGAAGAATCGAATTAGTTTATAAATTACAAAAATTAAATCGTTATATAATAAAAAATGACGCTTAATTTTGATGAGAATTTTCGTGGTAGGGACTAAATTGTTACAAATTTTAAACTATATGGACTAAATCGGTACATATTAAAGTTCATGGACTAAATTGTTACTAATATAGCGGTGGGACTGCTCAACTTTCCCCCTCCCGGCCTTTTATTGTGCGGCTGGGAGGGGTGCCGCATTGCCATGCTTTGTGTCATGTATTGTACATTGCATTGTGCATTGGGCTGATTTTTTCTTTAATGGGTTGGGTTATCTCGGCCCAAATTCATTTCTCACTCTATAGGTTGCCAAGTCTCGTTTAATTCCTCCAACAAATAGTTTTAATGAAAATAAGAAAGTGAAACAATAGTCGAGGAAAAAGTAAAAGTAAAGAGGTCTACAAAAATTTTAATAATAGCAATTGAAAAAAAGAATGAAAACGTTTTGGTTTGAAGGGAGAATAACGAAAAATAAAAAAGATGAAAAATAAAAGAAAATATGAAATTATAGTAATTAATGAGAGAGATAATGTATCTTCCAACGAGAGAGATGAATTAGAATGACGTAGAGTAATTTAGTTTATAAACACATGGAATCTGCTTGGAAAAATATATAATTTTTATTTGTATAATTATACACACGTGGCACATTCTAAAGGGAAGGAGTATGAAAAATTTTCCTACGGGATAGAGAATTGATGGTCAATTTGGACGTTTTTAATGGAAAATTTTAGCCCACTTGGTTGGAGGTATATGCCAATTACCGCTGAGCTACGCTCGCTTTGGCGGAAAATTTTAGTCCTACTCCTTACATAGGAGAGATTTATATACTACTTTCATTCACGCTGTATCATGTAAATTACATTCTCTTTCGTCTATTTTTATTTATATTTTCAATAAAATAAAGTAGACCCCACAGTTTTATTGGTAGAATTTTCTTCCTTAAAAAAAATTATAGTTTTGTTAAATATCGTCCTAAAAAAATATAATTTTTATATTTTTGTTTGTATATAATGATTCTCACAATTTCTTAACGCCTATTCATAACAAATAAAATTTAATTATAATATTTTAAATTAAACAAAAATATTTAATTATTTTAAAATAAAGTTACAAATAAAAAAATGTAGATTAATGGGTAACAAATAAAATCTAATTATAATATTAATTAAATAGAACAAAACAATAATTATTTAATTATTTTAAAATATATTTCTAAATAAAAAGAAAATATCAATAAAGAACTTTGAACTACAAATATTCTTTAAATAAAAAGAACGGAAAGAAAAATCTACAAATGAATATGAAGTTGTTGTAAAAATATTGAAATAAGAAATGATTGAAGATGAAGAAATGAAAGAAAAAAATATAAAAAGTATTTTCTAGAAAGTATAAGTAAGAATAAAGGAGATATAATGTATTTAGAGAGAGAGGTAAAGAAGAAGAGAAAATGTATTTTGAGAGGTAGAGAGAATGTAATTTACCAGGGGGAGAGAGAATAGTATCTTGATTTTTCATTTTAAAATTACGTGGAGTCCACTTTATTTTATTTTTAAAATAAGATTACATGTGAAATTTTTCCTACTATGGTAGGACTATAAATTTTCCCATTTCCAATTTACTGAATAAAATGGGTAGACTGAGTATGTGACGTGATTATTTTTATCTTTTCAATATTTTCATATTTTGAATTTAAAATTTTAAAATATATAATTATATTTAAAAAAAACTGTGATAGATGTATTAGTTCACACATTTTTGTTAATATTAAATCAAGTAAAACATAATACATTATAAATTATAAAAAATTATAACAAAAAAAGTTAAGAAATTTAGTTAATAGATTAATTAATGTTATTTTATATTGGACGGAGTATTTAGTTAAAACTACCACTCATTACAAATATATAACTAAACATTGAAATTTTTTTTAAATTGAGATTCAATTTTCTAATTTGTTATTAAACACATAAAACAAATAATAACTTGATTACTTCTCAGGATTGAATTGTTGATTCATTTTCATTTTTAACCTATTTAACTAGGTTTAAAATGAAAATATTATGTCAATCTCAATATACTTCAACCGGTTAACGTACATGAGTTAAAATTCTCATTTCCTACTAAACAAAAATTAGAAATATTATTTGATTTTATTAATAGTGCTATTTTTCAAAAAGGGGTAAAAGAATTAGAGGTAAAGAAATCGAACCGATCCCAAACCGACCCGAACCGATTCGGTTCGAAAATTTCGGTTCGGTGCGGTTTATTTGTTTTGTTTTTAACCTAGTTCATTTAACTACATGCGCCGCCAGCCCACCCCCACCCCCTCTGTGACAA